GAAATCAGACTGATGTTAATGTGGACATCTGATTTATGACAGAAGTAGCACTACAGAGTACTGGTAAATGGACAGACTTTTCAATAAATGCTGTTGGGGGGCACCTGGGTGGTTCAGTTGGTTAAGAGTGTGACTCTTTGATTTCGGCTCAGGTCATGATCTCAGGGTCGTGAGATGGAGCCCTATGTGGGTCTCCGTGCTCAGCTGGGAGTCTACTAGAGATTCTCTCTCTCCCTCTGCCTCTTCCCCCGTTCCCATGTGCTTTCTCTCTCTTTCTAAAAATAAATAAATACATCTTTAAAAAAATAAAATAAAAGCTGTTGGGACAATTAGGTATTCATGTGCAAGGTTAAAAAAAGGAAGGAAAATGGGAAGGAAGAAAAGAAAATAGATTCCTACCTTACACTACTAAACAAAAATTAGCTGAGGTGTACTATAGACCTAAATGTAAAAGTTAAAAAATGAAGCTTCCAGAAAATAACACAAGAGATTATCTAAGTTATGGAAATATTTCTTAAACAGGACACAAAGAAGCATTCATCCTAAGGGAAGATATAGATATATTTAAAAAGCAATAACCTTTCTTTATAAAAACAAAAACAAAAAAACCAGAACACTAAAAAGAGTAAAAGGTAAGCCACCAAGCCACAATATGGAGAAGATATTGTACCACAAAGTCAAAAACTGTGAAGGGACTGATATTTATCTTGCTTGTAAGCTAAAAAGGTAGCATGCCAGTTTCAGGGATGTTGACAGAAGTCATGAAACTCCTACATCAGTAATGATGGACGGTTACTTACTTACAAAATAATGGCAGCCACGTCAAACAAAATTTCAATCTGCCCTGTTTCACCACTGGTGCTCAGAATATAAAAGGCACTCAATAAATACTGAGAATACAATAAACAGAAAGAATACAGTTAGGGGAGAACTGCCACTATCCTTGCATCCTGTTTCTATGAAGAAGGAGGAGATTCTTCCTCCTCCACCTACAAGGCAGGGATAGGCATGTTGCTGGAGTAAACAATTCAAGACCCTCTCCACCTATTTACTTGAGCCTCTGCAAACAAGGAGAGAAGTAGCTAATGTAGTCAATGAACAGCATCCATTGTTATTATTTTTACTAATGAGTGTAACCAAAATGGAAAAATCACTATTCGTGGAACATCACAAACTCTCTATTCTCCTGGAACTGCCTGAGCTCTGGCACAACAGGCCCTACCCTTTCACTTTTTTAATCATGTTTCCATGCACAGGATATAAAAGGGGAGGGCTCTTACTTACTGTCTAGAGCTGTCTGGATTAGCTGATTAAATTTCAAGATTTAGATGTGGGACTGGAATAAGGTTTCATCAGAGGTCCCTGGGTGGGGTTTAGGGGTGAGCTAACACAAAGGACTGGATTGTCAAATCAGATTCTCATGAGCCAGGTATCTTAGCCATTATCAAGCTTTACTAATAATTTCAAATATACAAGCAATCAAGTGGCATAAAAGAGGCAGGGACATCCAATGTGGCTATCTCAGTCTTGCTTATAGCTCAGAATGTTTTCTAGCTCAGATAATAGATGAGTTCTCTAAGCAAATTTCACAGGTCACCTCACACAATGGGGAGCATCTCCAATATATCTTAGGGAGTTGAATACTTGTATGACACTCTCCAGGAAGCTGGGCCTCATAAATCTAGATTCTAGGTTGTGTTTACCATGGCAATCCTAACCAGGGATATTCTGCTCAAAGCATGCCATAAGTAAGAGTTCTCCTCTCAACAAAATTCATTAGTCTATTTACCAAGGAGGTCAGTTATCATCATGTTTAACTGGGTCACCCGCCTTCTTTCTTTCCATGGGACTGCCTCCCTAGAAATCAAGAGAGAAATGGATCACAGGCCAGCTGCTAACTCCTTCCCCAAAGAATTATCAAACTCTTGTCTGGATCATTGAAAAGGCTGATATTTTAATCTCCACTAGGAGGTTTTTGTACCTATTTCTTGCATTAATGAGATCCTATCAGTAGAAAGTCTTTGATACTCCTAGCTACCTGAATACATGTGAATGAATGGAATGATTTAATATGATGTAGCCATTTCAAAAGTATATTTTCAAATACTACTTATTAACATGTTCATAATAAATTAAATAGAAGATATCAAATTATATATCACTATGATTTCTATTATTGTAATTACTATATGCAATCAAAGGAAGTAAGTCAATATAAATTTCTTTCAATGGATGGCTTATTTTCTTCTTTATATTTCTTTTTATATTTCAAATGCTGTATGAGACATTATTTCCATGTTAGGAAAAATTACTAGAATAAATATCTTTACCTTAAATATTTATCTGTTGCTTATTTTGTTAAAATATAACTTGTAAACCCACACCCCATCCTTAACCTGACCAAAGCCTAGCGTCCCCACTCTTGCTACCTCTGTATTCTATTCTGTTACCACACGTTCTTGCCCCACGTTATGAAAATTGCCCTGAGAACAAAAAGCATTTCGTATATATTTTAGTATCTGCAGTGTCTAGCAAAGTTCTGACGCAAAATACTTAATAAATGTTGGATAAATTCATAAATGCTGACAAAATCTCATTTTCAAGATTTTATTTCATACTCTCAATCTATACTTGAGATACTTTTAATAATTTTTTTTTTTTAAAGATTTTATTTATTTATTTGAGAGAGAGAGAATGAGAGACAGAGAGCATGAGAGGGAGGAGGGTCAGAGGGAGAAGCAGACTCCCTGCCGAGCAGGGAGCCCGATGCGGGACTCGATCCCGGGACTCCAGGATCATGACCTGAGCCGAAGGCAGTCGCTTAACCAACTGAGCCACCCAGGCGCCCTATACTTGAGATACTTTTAATGTTGAAAATACAATAGCTACAAACTATGGATGTCTCCTCAACCTTTTACAATTTCATTTAATGTGGAATATTTGGATCTGCACACTCTCATTAAAAAGAAGTGTGTAACTTTGCCCAAATTACAGATTTTTAATCTGAGAACCTCTGACTCCTGCCATTTAACTTAAAGAAAAAAAGAAGAAAGAGGAGGAAGAAAAGTATTAGTAGTAGTAGCAGCAAGAGTAGTAGTATTAATAGTGGTTTGCTTTTGTTTTCTGGATTCCAAACATATGACTAAGCATATAATGATAGTATGCAAAGCTAAGTGAATTAGTTGACCTTTAAAAAGAAATTATATACATAGCCAAAACAGTGGTGAAATCTTCCATTCTAATAGAACTGTATGTCCAAATATTATTTTTCCAACATGAACACATCAATATTTTGGTCACTATGATGATGAATGATGAAGACTCACACTCCATAATCACTAGGTATCCCTTATCTCAGCTCAAGAGCATGACAGAGGAGTTGTTGGGGATTTTTTTTTTTTTTTAATGTTTCTTTTAAAACACAGCTCTTGCTGTCAGAGTACTACCTTTTAAGGATAGTTATCTGGATGATTTATACAAATTTTCAAAATGTAACTGAATCATCTAAGCTTCCTTTTTCAATGGGTTCACAAATTGGATTTTACTTGTCAACTAGTGAGAAAAGAAAACCAGAAGGGGTCAGTATTTTAAATGTGACTGATTTTCTCTGAGGAAATGGATGACATGATACATTACTGCAATAACATACCAATATTTTTGTTATAAATCATACTCTTCAGTTCGTGCTTTCCCACCTAAAAATCATGTAAACTTCTTTTGCACAAACACCATGGCCACTTTCTAAAGAGACTACATGTGTGTTATTTTCAACATATTTTCCCACTCTGTTTTTCCTAATACATTTAAATTAAAATGAAGCAGAGAATCTGATTATGTAGTATGTACATACATAGTATATAACAGAAATGACTGCTCTCAGAAATTATTTTGAGAAATAAAGGTATACTTTCAAATGGTACTCCATTAATAGAACTGGCTTATGTTCAATTATTCCTTATAATGTTGTCCCACATTCTTATCTTCTGAAATGGTTTTTGGGAAGATATGTGAGAGAGCTGTATATAATTTTATCTTCATGTTTTATAAGTTAAACAGAAGATTCTAATTTTTCCACTTCTGTATGGATAAATCAAAGAGTCCTCAATAAGTGTACAATGAACCCATATGCTTTGGAATCTCTCTCCTGTCATCATTGTGTCTTCCAATAAGCTTTCCATGGTAAAATGAAAAATCAGGTTAGATTACTCTTTTCATGATTATAAACATACATTAATTTTTAAAATAATTTTAAAAGACTTACATATCTACTAACATTACTCTTTTTAAAAAATATGTAACATCAAGAAACTTTTATTATGTTAAAGTATTGAGATGCCTGGGTGGCTCAATCGGTTAAGCGTCTGCCTTTGGCTCAGGTCATGATCTCAGGGTCCAGGGATTGAGCTCCACATCAGGCTCCTTGCTCAGCAGGGAGTCTGCTTCTCCTTTCCCTCTGCCCTTCCCCTGCTCTGTGTGCATTCTCTCTCTCTTAAATAAATAAATAAAATCTTTAATAATAATAATAAAGTATCAATTTTAAGTATCACATTCATAAAAACGTGTTAAGAGTAATATTTGGTTGTACAGTATTGTGTTTTCAAAAGCTAAAACTGTGAACACTATGCAGACTGCCTAATTAATATAAATATGAAAAATTTCTGGTGAGGTAAATGAATATATAGCCACAGAGGGCATAAAGTATCTTTGAGTGCTGTATCTGTCAGCTGACAAATGCAAATACTACAAAACAGTACAAAAGTTTTCCTTATTTGCCTCTCAATTATCCATTCCACTCCTTTTCTCCCTTCTGAGTGCCATCTTCTGTCCACAATATCAAGCTAGGCAATATTTGCTTTCTTGCTTTCTAATTGCTCTTTGCAAATGAAAATAAGGATCTACTATCAATCCTTTATACTTTTGAGTAAAACTCACACATCAATATATTTACTTTCTTGCCTATGTTTGCATTTGAAACCTTTCATTTCTTATTGTGGAATAAAAGGATTGCCTTTTGTTAAAGGAAGGTAAGATAATAACTAGGTGAGAAAGATTCCAAAGAAAGTAAGAAATTTCTTTGTATGTGGCACAGTGAGTGATAGAGCTATCCCTGATGAGACAATTACTATTACTATATATTTCATTTTCTAGGGTCAAGGACAGGAGGTAAAAGAGAAATTGTGGCTGACATTATCATTTTTTCTTCATCTTTTCAACTCCCAGACTTGTAGATGTCAGGGAATTAGAACCATTCTCTGTGCCTATTGCTTGGGTTTCCTACTCTTTCCCCATTATCATCATAACCACACAACCAAGGGACCCAAAGTTTCAACTACTTTATTTAGGTGGCTCCCAAATCTCTCACACAGACCAAGCATCAGAGACAGGAAATGGAGAGTAGCTGTTCAAGGAAAAGAATAGGAGATGGTCTTCCCCGTCTGATTACATAAAAATCTACACCTGGAGTGAGTGAGATGTCAGTTTTGCACCTTGTTAATATGCTACTAAAATGATGTAATGCTAAAGCCATTCCTTTTGGAAAATAAGATGATGGGAGAGTGGAGTGGCCACTAAGGAAGAGCCATAGTTGTTAGGGCATAAGTAGGTGCCTATGTGAGGTTTATATAAATGTGTGACCTTTACGACAATGATTGAAATGCTAAATGAAGTTAAGAGAAATGTATCAATTGGAGGAAAAAAACTAAACTGAAACTAAAACCATGCTTTGGTTATATAAAAGCAATACAAATCAAAATAAATTACAGAAATGCTTTATGTTTATGTCTAATTACTACGCAGCACAACAGTGATTATATCATCTTTGGCAGATTAACTTTGCTATAATTTTTTTTTGGTGCCAATTAAATAGTTTTATTTAAGACATTGCATTTTCCACTTAACAATACAATGTTTATAAATGCAATGCTTATTTCCTTTCCCTGTGCACGTATTCCATATTCAAGTATCAAGAATGCCGGGTTTAATTTTTTTTTTTATTTTTATTTTTTTTAAAGATTTTATTTATTTGACACAGAGAGAGAGCGTGAGAGAGGGAACACAAGCAGGGGCAGAGCGAGAGGGAGAAGCAGGCTTCCCGCTGAGCAGGGAGCCTGATGTGGGACTCAATCCCAGGACCCTGGGACCATGACCCGAGCTAAAGGCAGACGCTTAACGACTGAGCCACCCAGGTGCCCAAGAATGCCCAGTTTATTTACTATAGCAGCTCAACATTAAAACTGCCATGGAATTTGCTACAAATTTGGGTCCTTCGAATATTTGGTGTGGAACAATGCTGGACCTATTCTCAGGTTGACTAAATCAACCTCTTCGATGGTGGGTCCAGAGGAGGCACCACCAGAGGGAGCAGCTCCACCACCAGGGAAGCCTCCAGGCATTCCTCCTGGCATGCCCCCTGCACTCTGGTACAGTTTGGTAATGATAGGATTGCAGACTTTCTCCAGCTCTTTCTGCTGGTGTTCAAATTCTTCCTTCTCTGCAGTCTGGTTCTTATCAAGCCAATTGATGATTTCATTGCACTTGTCAAGAATCTTCTGATTGTCCTCATCATTGATCTTGCCCTGAAGTTTTTCATCTTCAACAGTTGCTTCAACCATTGAATGCATAAGACTCAAGTGAATTCTTGGAAGACAGCTTGTCCCGCTGTTTCTCATCTTCAGCTTTGTACTTCTCTGCTTCCTGGACCATGCGCTCAATGTCTTCCTTGCTCAAGCGGCCCTTGTCATTAGTGATGGTAATCTTGTTCTCTTTTCTTGTGCTCTTATCCACAGCAGAGACATTGAGGATACCATTAGCATCAATATCAAAAGTGACTTCAATCTGAGGAACGCCACGAGGGGCAAGAGATATGTCTGTGAGTTCGAACTTGCCAAGTAAGTTGTTATCCTTGGTCATGACACTCACCTTCATACACCTGAATAAGCACACCAGGCTGGTTGTCAGAGTAGGTAGTGGTTTGTGTCTGTTTGGTAGGAATGGTAGTATTATGCTTGATGAGAACAGTCATGACTCCTCCAGCAGTTTCAGTGCCAAGAGAAAGTGGAGTGACATCCAAGAGCAGCAAATCTTGAACATTTTCAGATTTGTCTCCAGAAAGGGTGGCTGCCTGGACAGCTGCACCGTAAGCAACAGCCTCATCAGGGTTGATGCTCTTATTCAGTTCTTTCCCATTGAAGAAATCCTGTAGAAGTTTCTGAATCTTGGGGATACGGGTAGAACCACCCACCAGGACATTATCGTGGATCTGAGATTTGTCTAGCTTGGCATCCCGAAGGGCTTTCTCTACAGGGTCCAGGGTGCCACACAACAGATCAGCATTTAATTCTTCAAACCAGGCACGAGTAATAGAGGTATAGAAGTCGATTCCTTCGTATAGAGAATCAATCTCAATACTGGCCTGCGTGCTGGAAGAAAGTGTACGCTTAGCACGTTCACAAGCAGTACGGAGACGACGAACTGCCCTCTTGTTTTCACTGATGCCCTTCTTATGTTTGCGCTTGAACTCTGCAATAAAATGGTTGACCATCCTGTTGTCAAAGTCTTCTCCACCTAAGTGGGTGTCTCCAGCTGTGGATTTAACCTCAAAGATCCCATCTTCAATAGTAAGGATTGACACATCGAAAGTGCCACCTCCTAAGTCAAAGATCAGCACATTCCTTTCAGCACCAACCTTCTTGTCTAAGCCATAAGCAATAGCAGCAGCAGTTGGCTCGTTGATGATTCAAAGTACATTGAGACCAGCAATAGTTCCAGCATCTTTGGTAGCCTGACACTGAGAGTCACTGAAGTATGCAGGTACCGTGACAACTGCATTGCTAACAGTCTTCCCAAGGTAAGCCTCTGCAATTTCCTTCATCTTCATCAAAACCATAGAGGACACCTCCTCTGGATAGAAACTTTTTGTCTCTCCCTTGTATTCTACTTGGACCTTGGGCCTGCCAGCATCATTCACCACCATAAAAGGCCAATGCTTCATATCAGACTGGACAACAGCATCATCAAATCTACATCCAATCAGGCATTTGGCATCAAAAACTGTGTTGGTGGGGTTCATCGCAACTTGATTCTTTGCAGCATCACTGATCAATCATTTGGTGTCAGTGAAGGCGACATAACTTGGGGTGGTTCAGTTTCCCTGATCATTGGCAATTATTTCCACTTTCCCGTGCTGGAAGACACCCACACAAGAGTAGGTGGTGTCAAGATCAATGCCAACTGCCAGTCCCTTAGACATGATTGCTTCTGTGTGGGCCTGGCTCGGCTTGAGAAGAAAACAGCTGTCTGGTGATCTAGCCCAGCATTCAATGAGAGTAACTTTGCTATAAATTTAATTACAGATTTAAATTCTAAATACTCAGCCCTTCTAATTTAGTGTTTTAAAACAATTATTTGCTGACCTCCTTCTACATACCAGACACCAAATTATGTATTAGCAGTAAAAACAGTAAGACTATCCCTGTTCCCATGGGGCTTATAACAGTCTTGTTGAAGAAAGAGATAAGTACTAGGCAAATGTTAAGCAAAGAAACTGACAATATATTTTTATTTTTTATTTATTTTTTTTTTTTAAGATTTTTAAATTTATTTTTTAGAGAGCGAGCGAGAGAGAAACAGCATGAGAGGGGAGAGGGTCAGAGGGAGAAGCAGGCTCCCCGCTGAGCCGGGAGCCCGATGTGGGACTCGATCCCAGGTCCCTAGGATCATGACCTGAGCTGAAGGCAGACGCTTAACCATCTGAGCCACCCAGGCGCCCGACAATATATTTTTAAATGAAAGTAAGGACATGAAGGGAATATCAATCCCTGACCTCTTCTTATTGAAGCCTTACCCTACACTCCCTAGTCAGAGCTAATTTCTAAAGAATCCAGAGTTAGCCAACAGAAAGGGGAGAATGAATAAGAAGAACCCTCAATCAAAAGGAACAGGAAATGCCCTGGCCTCAGAAATGACATTGTAAGGTGAGTTTGAAGAACTGCTCCAGTGGAACACAAAGCAAGAGAAGTCCTGAGATAATGAGGCAAATGAAGTAAGAAGGAACCATATCCAAAGATGGCTTGAATATCATACTAAGGAATTTGAAATCTTAATGGTAATGGGAACCACTGCAGAATTTTAAAAAGGAGAATGACATAATCAGATTTACATTTCAGATCAGATTTGCTTTACTGTGAAGAGTGAAGTGAAGCTCACACCTGGAGACATGCAGGGCAGTTAGGAGCCAGTTACAAGGATTCAGATGACAGACGCTGGTGGCTCAGGTTAGGCTATTCAGGATGGATAGAACTGGATGGACCTGAAAAATACGGAACAGGTACAACTGAAACATCTTAGCAATTGACTGAGTACAAGAGAAAGGGGGGTTGGAGATGGATTTCTGACTTAGGCAAATGTATGATGGTATGGAAATTACTGAGATACAAAAGAGAGAAAAAAAGAGGTAGATTAGTGGGGTTTCTATTTGATTTTTTGTTGTGTTGATTTTGGGGGGGACAGAATAGCATTTGAAATTATCAGTTCTTCTCTTGACAAACTGAGTTTTATGTGTCCAAGGGGCTTCCAAATGGAGATATGTCATAGATAACTGAATATATAGGTCTGAGGCTAGGGAGAAAGATCTGAGCTTAGATACATACTTGGGAGGTAGCGTCTTGTATCAGTTGAAGCCATCAGATAAATAGAGAAGAGAGTCAACATCAGCAGCCTAAGGAAACCCAGAAATTATGGGATGAGCTGGTTAAGGGTAAATTAAGAAAATAAGTAGGAAGAAAACCAGGAAAGCATATGATCACAAAATTCAAGGGAAGAGAATACTATGAGAGAGAACAAGCAGGGGCGCCTGAGTGGCACAGTTGGTTAAGTCTCCGACTCTTGGTTTCAGCTCAAGTCGTGATCTCAGGGTTGTGAGATCGAGCCCTGTGTGGGACTCTGTGCTCAGCATGAAGTCTGCTTAAGACCCTCTCTCTCCCTCTGCCCACCCCGCAAATAAATAAATCTTAAAAAAAAAAAAAAAGACGAAACATGCAGTCAATAAAGTCAAATGCAATAGAAAGTATAAACTGGTATAGCTATTTTAGAGAACAATATATCTAAAATGTTTGATCCTCAATTCCACTTCGTGATATTTAATCAAGAAAAATGTTAGTATCATGTCCAATGAGACAAATTAAAGGATGGTTTGTAAAAGTAAAAAAAAAAAAAAAAAGGAAATAATATAAGTATTCAAAAAATAGAGGATTAAATAGAATATGATAGATTGATTCTATTTAATATTTCACAAAAGTTGAAGAGAACAAAGTAAATCTATAAGGAAAAAACTAAGAAAAATTAAGTACAAAAAAAGCAAGTTTCAGAACAATATATACACAGTGATAGCAATTATTTTTAAATGAATTTATGCACACATAATTGTAAAAATCTCTAGAGAAAAAGTTTGGAAATTTTTTTGATTTGGAAGTCCACACAAGTCCACTAAACAAGTCCAACAGATAACTCAGTAAAGAAAGCTGGTATTTGGTTGGGTCCATGGCCAAGAGGGCCTTTTGCTTCATTTTTATTATTTGAGCTTTTTACAATGAAAATGTTCCCTTGTAATAGTTATATAATAAAATAGATTTTTAAAATGCTATCAAGAGATCAAGTAAAATTAAAACTGAAAAATATTTGCCAATTTAATAGATCTTTAGTAACCTTAACAAGCATAAATTTGGAAGAATAATGGGAAAAGAAAATAGATTACAATGAACTGAGACAAAATGGGAGGAAAAACAACAGAATATAAAACACAGAAAGCTTGGTAATGAACCGGAAGAAAAAGAAGTGAAGGGAGGATTTTTCATGAGAGAGAAAGAAAAATGATATTCTCAGAAAGCCTGGTTGCTTAATCACAGTTTAAAAAAAAAAAATAGAGGTCACAAAGCTAATAACCCATCATAAAACTTATTGTCTGTTACAAGGTGTAAGGTTAACAATGGCAAGGCCCAGAGTAGCTGGAATAATTAACTAAGAAGCCAGATCGAGAAAATTTAGGTGAGAAAGAAGTCTTATAGCAGGATCTATGCAACATGCCAAAGCTAATAATCCAAAAGGTAGAAGGGGAAAGGTGGTATAAAATTCTCAAAATATCTTAGGGTTTAGTAGATGAAAGGCTGACACTGGAAGCATATAAATAGTTTAACTGCCAGATGAGTAACGTTTAGAAGAACCCTCTGGTAGGTACTACCTAGAACAGCCATATGAGCTGATTTCATAATCTGGTACAAGAACAAGACTACATATTAGTTGGTTGTACTACTTAGGTAATGGCATGTATTCATTGTTGTGTATCAATCAGAAATTGGAAGTAAACCACGTTGTCAGAAGTGCATAAAAAATGTTAATCATTATCATTCCACATGTAAGAGGTAACAAGTGATAATACATCATTAAGTTATATTTTAAAATATTCCAGAGAATTTTTGTTCTGCATTGAACAACAGGAATTACTTGGGAGTAGAGTATAAGTAGAAATCTCTTTTGAAGCCAGGACAGAATGTCCCAAAATGCCTCTGTTCATAAGAAAACCAAGTATTTCTTGGTGGTCACATGCTTCTGGAGAACTCTTCAAGGGGAGGTAAGTGCTAACAATGAACTACAATTTCCTAGGAGGCTGACCCATCCAAAACAATGTATCCATTACCAAAAACATACATCTTGGTCCAAAGCTACTATTATGGGGGACTGTTCAGGTTCTGGTGAAAGAATAGGGTGCTGAACACTAGGTTTGAGACGGTCCTGATAGGCAAACAACTTTAAACCACAGTAAAATCATATGTATCCTTTAAAAGACAATGCACAGCAATACTACATTTCATTGAGGGGGTGGGGGAGGGGGCAGTGGGGTCTTACAGCATGAGAGCTGAAAGCAAAGAGGTTAAGAATTTTCTGGATACAGCCTTTGGAGGAATAATTATCAACACCTACACAGAAAACCCTCCATTTGGGGAATCCTGTGTCATGATTTGTCATGCCTATTTAAATTACATTAGAAACCAGAATAACTTTTCTATTAATAGCCCTCACCTTAAGAGTTCTACCTGCAGAACAGGCAAATTCCTCCTTTGGCTTATCCTACAGGCTGCCTTCTGAGAATCAGAAGAGAACAACCAACTTCGATCATTTGAACATGGAGCATCAACTAACACCTAGAGAAAAAAAGGATATATAATGCAAACATGCACTGAAAATATAGTCTCAAATGCAAAATACATGGAGAAGCTATGTAAAACATGACAATAAGCAGCTAGTAAGTAAAGACATTTCTTTTAAAACCAAAAATGTACTATGGTAAATTCTTCATGACATTTCTTCACTAAAACTTTACAGGAAAATTTCCTATGCACTTTCAGTGTTTGATTTTTTGGCAGAGAGAGGGAACAGGAGGACTAAAAGTCTACTAATGTCTACTCATATTTCATATTCTTGATGACTATAGCAAAAACTTTTACAAAAGTTACTTGTTTCAAACAGACATTCTATATTTCTGGATTCTCAGCATTTATTTTTGAGAACTAATATTTCAATTTTGGTTTGCTGAAATGTTCTTTTTTTTCAACTGTCATACTCTGATAGGAAATGTTACTGAATTAAAGCAATTATATAGTGTACATGTTTGTTCATTGACCCAAGTAACATCTGATCTTTTCCTGAGTATCTCTGAAGCACCTGGAAATAAAAAACATTCAATGGGGCGCCTGAGTGGCTCAGTCGTTAAGCGTCTGCCTTCAGCTCAGGTCATGATCCCAGGGTTCTGGGATCGAGCCCCGCATAGGGCTCCCTGCTCCTCGGGAAGCCTGCTTCTCCTCCTTCTCTTGCTGTCATTCCCTCTGTCAAATAAATACATAATATCTTAAAAAAAAAAATTCAATCATCCCCAATCCCAATGTTACTACCGCTTCCTTTGAACCATGCTGACCATCAAATGAAAACTGCTTCCTTGTTCACTTTATCAAAATTTCCCAGAGGGGCGCCTGGGTGGCTCAGTCGTTGAGCGTCTGCCTTCGGCTCAGGTCATGATCCCAGGGTCCTGGGATCGAGCCCCGCATCGGGCTCCCTGCTCAGCGGGAAGCCTGCTTCTCCCTCTCCCACTCCCCCTGCTTGTGTTCCCTCTCTCGCTGTCTCTCTCTGTCAAATAAATAAAATCTTAAAAAAAAAAAAAAAAAAAAAATTTCCCAGAGTACTGAGAAATTGTATCAGGCTATGTCTGGAAGCAGATGGAAGACAACAACAAAGCAACATAACAGTGGTATCACTGGGAGCCCATCAGTTTGTCACAATGTAATAACTATACCTTGTCAAACATTTCAGGCTGGGCATCTCCCATTTCTCTGCCATCCAATTCAGACACTTTAATTACGTTTACCAAAGGCTGTGGGATGAAAGATTCTAATGTCTGCCTCAGCCACCTCAATCTCAGACTATCGTGTTCATTACAGTGAAGATAACCTAAACATAAAGGATTAAAAAGTTTTAAAATGAATGCAATGGAATTGTTAAATTTCCACTTTTGATCAAATAAATTTCAGAAAGAAATCAATTCATCATAATTATGCAAAAATAGGGCACAGAGGTAAATATAATGATCTTAGGTTTAAAAAACAGCAATACACACACACACACACACACACACAAAACATTCACAACAGTCTTGCCTACATAGCCTGTCAGAAGCTCTGACCATTTATTCATTCGAATTTAATTATGGATTCCTAAAGATATGCTATACAACCAATACGTCATGGTATTAGTAAGACATCGCTCAAAGTATGAACTGTCATAATTCCCATAACTGGGAAGTTACTTAGCTCTCAAGAGTCTGTTTCCCAAATTGAGGGTTGCTGGAGGGGAGGGGGGTGGGGGGATGGGGTAACAAGGTAGTAACAAGGAGGGCACGTGATATAATGAATACTGGGTGTTATATACAACTAATCAATCACTGAACTCCACCTCTGAAACTAATAATACACTATATGTTAATAAAAAATGTTCATGACTTCATAAAAAAAAAGTCTCCGTTTCCTTATGTGTAAAATGGGGATTGTACCTAGTAAAAGGATTCAGAACATGCCTCTCCAAAATATGCCACTTTGGCATGTTGACATTATTTTGAGTAAAAGGCACTTGAATAATAGCAGATGCAGGAAGGGCATTTTTACCTTCCTTTTTTTCCTAAAAGGAGATGAAATCCCGTATGAAAAATACTCTCCCTACACCAGAAGGAAAGAAATATTCTTATCACCAGAGATGGGGAGTCAGGGCCAAGAGAAATCTGTACAAACAGACCTTATTAAAAATTCTTCCTGGGGTGCCTGGGTGGCTCAGTCAGTTAAGCAGCTACCATCGGCTCAGGTCATGATCCCAGAGTCCGGGGATGGAGCCCCGTGTCGGGCTCCCTGCTCAGCAGGGAACTTGCTTCTCCCTCTGCTCCTCACCTTGCTCACTCTGTTTTACTTTCTCAAATAAATAAATAAATAAAATCTTTAAAAAAAATTCTCCCTGTCTTCTCCCCCACATATTTTAGTTATTTTCCACAACTGGCACTCTATGTTCAACCTAGTATACAAGCACTTAACGATTGGCCACTCTTGTGGATCTTCCACATTCACATTGGGCAGGTGTAGGAGTTGTCCTGGCTTAAAAGCTTCATGTCCCACAGAAGACAACATCTCTTCTAACAACTTCATAGGCACAGCTTTCAGGATCCCCATGAGGGATGCCCAAGTTACAAGAGGACTGCCCAGTAACAAGAATCAATGCACTCAGGAAGACCCAATCAGGGCATCCCTATTGGGTCTCTGGGGCTTATTTCATCTTTCTCCCAGTGCACATGCATTTTTACCCATCAGGGTCTTTTTTATCATGAGTAATGTTGCCTGGAAACGTGGTGACAATCTGTCAGGTTACCAGGGAAACAAAGCTAGAGAACTACATGAAGGTGAAATTGTAATGTAGAGGGGGAAATATTTTTGTAAACCCTTTGCTCAAATATATATGTATAAATATATATACATCTACATATCTCTCTCTCTCTATATATATCTATACATATGTTGTTTTCTCTGGTTGTCAATCCATGATTAAAAACATTTAATGATTTCCTATCATACAGTAAAGTTCAAACTATTGATTTATTTCAAGGTCTGTGATAATGAGACCTCAAGACAACCTTTCAATTTTAACCTCCCACTGTTTTACCAACATACTCTGTGCTCCACCAAATCTGACGGACTTGTCCACTTCTCATACATACTTTGAACCACTTCTATAGTACTTAACCATATTTTACCACAAGAGAGATGTTCATGTGCATTGCTTACCCTTTCTACTACCAGCGCACCACAATTTCTATATGGAAGGCACTTAGGAGATGGCATCAATTTTGTTAGGGGGTTAAAGGAATAAGAAATCACTTTAAAGCCACATTTATACAGGTAGTATTCTCTTTTTTAATTTAGTTTATGTGTTTACTTCAGGGGCTTTTAGAGGATTTGCTAATGCAGCTTACGGACAGTTGTCTAAAAACCTGAAATCACTAGAAAATGACCTAAGGCAAAAGTTAATGTTATGGAGGAGATGTAACCACAGGGAAACTAGAGTGAAAGAAAAAAGGAAGTAAATCATACAAAGATGGAGCACAAATATAAAAGGGTTTGTAATCAAGGTGGCTACAGCACTGGTCAGTCTCTCAGGATATGTCCACAGTCTGAAATTGCTAAGCCTTGGAAGAAACTATGGGGTTTAGTGGAGTAAGGAGGAAGAACAAGTAATCTGCTGTCATCTTCCTGTCTCCTGCCTCTCATTGGTTAAAGTCCATTCCAAGAGTTGATAACTTCCACACAGTTCAGGTTTGTGCTATCTGGCCCCTACAGGCAAGCCAGAGTCCCAAGGCCAGTAACAGCAACCATTCAAGTGTGGTGATTTTTGCTTATCTGGAGGCTCCTCAATTTGTGGCAGTAGTAACATCAGCAGCAGATAACTGCAGGAACAGCATGAATCTTTTCTAGGGTTTCTCCAATCTGGAAACAATTCAAGGGTCTCAAGCCTTTAAGGAATGGGAGTAAAGGTGAAGCCAAAGACATATGTGGTGGAGCATAAACTGGGGCCAAGAAAGCTCCCCAAAGTCACACCTTGTCCCCATCAGACACTAAGAGACTCAAAGGAAAGACCCGTGTCTTAATTATTTTTCATTCCACTTCTCCCTTTTTCTGGTTTAAATATTTTATATTCCATTTCTATTATTTTTAACATGCATATGTAAATTTAAAATTTTTAACATGCATATGTAAAAAAAATATAAGGTTAGTCAACCTTACCATTTTCCCTAAAAGATACAAGAATCTTTTAATTCTCCCTCCCAAATTAGATGCTTTTACTGTATATTTGGGCTTACATTTTTTAACTGCACAAAACATTATCATCATTGTCTTCTATAGTCAATGACTTTTAGATTTACCCATATAATTCCCATCTTCTTTGTTCTTCATTTCTTCTTGTTATCTTTTATCATCCATCTACAATGGCTTTCCTTTTTCCTGAAACACATCTTTCAGAATCATTGGTGACAAACTTATATTCTCTCTTTTTGTCTAAAAAAAAACACGTCCATTTCACTTTCATTCTTCAGGGATATCTTGGTGAATATACTTCTGGATTTATAGTCATCTTTTCTTAGGACACTGAAAACATCATTCCTCTGAATGCTAGTTTCCATTGTTACCCTCAAAGGTCAATCCTCATTCTATTGTCTTTTGGAGGTAAGCTATCTGTCCTCTCTGGCTGCTATTAAGATCTTCTCTTTATTTTCAATGTTCTGCAACTTCACTATAATGGTCTACACTGGCTTAGCTGTGCTCACACAATTTCAGAGGGTATTTCCATTCCTCCTCCATCATCAAAGTTGAAAATAGACAGTTTTCCTTTCAGTTCCTTGGGATAGGACAATTTCTTCTTAGTTTACCTTACATGGAGGGTATACCATTTTGGAATCTCAGCTTTCTGTAAGTTAACCTCCTAGTAGATTATCTCTTGGGCAAGCTCTGGCTTTGTCTTTTATTCTCACATTTTCATGAAGCAATGAAAATCAACATGCAAGTTTTTCAGGTTAAGCAAATGCTCACAAGTGAAAAGCTAGCTTTGATGCTCAACTGATCTTCTAGGTTCCCATTATCTCTTAGATTTTGGTCACTGAATATTTGGAGATCACCAATGCATTTAAAGATTCTGTTTTTAATATTATATCCTACATTTTTTAGTTGTTTTCAGCAGGAGGGTTGGTTAGGAGACCTACTTTGTCATTCTACAAGGAACCAAAATCTTAGTTATTTCTGCATCTTTCACAGTTCCACACCTACCATCCAAAGCCTTGCACACGTAGTACATGCTCACTAATGTGGCTGAGTTGATTTGAAACATGGCATTATAATAAAGAATATTTAAACTGTTAAAACTGAAAATCAGGTCAGCTTTTCATTAAATTACAGCTTTAGTCAAGATTCTTAATTCAGCATTTTAAAATAACTTCATTAAAATACAGCTTTATGTTATATTGTTGTTTGGCCTAGATGTAGATTTTATTTGAAATTGTCTTAGACTGGTTAAATTTTTTAAAATATGTAATATGAGATCACAATCCAAGTTTCATATATATACTAAGACTTACTACATTGAAAAAGAATTAACTTCATGTTTAAATCGTCAAAAATAAACCAAGTCTTGGTATTTCTTCATCTAAGCAGGAAAGGGAGTGAATTTAAAAAATATATGAAAAAGTCATTGAGGCTTTACATCTGTGTAAGGCAGCCTTTGGTCCATGGAAAGAAATTGGGCTACTAGTTTCATTCATTTATTTATTTTAGTGCAACTAACTTGGAAAAAACTCAATTCTGCCTATTTTCAGTTCTATTAATTACTCCTTGGAGTAATTATCTAAGGAACACAGTGTGACTATCACTGATGCCATAATTATGATTATGATTATAATTATGATTATCTGAGGGATTATATGCCCCCTCAATGTAAAAATTGGAATAATGATATTGTCCATATATTAGAAGTGATATGAAGGCACAATTATAACACAACTCCTACCATTTCCATCATCTTATCTAAAATAAACAACAGCATCTCCATTTATAAAAACCATCAAATAAACAAAAACTAGACAGAACTGATGCTGAACCCTGTCTTACCAAGCTATAAGTAATATTTACCCACAGAAATCTGAAATAATTTTTTAAAAAGTCTTATTATCTAATTAGGAAAATAATTTATGATGTTGGTTGACTCATTACTTTTAACAAATATTTATAAAAATGTACATTTACATAAATTTCATCATTTTTATACTAATAATGGTAATGATAAGTTACTTCCAAAAAACTTTTTAAAAAGTCTTTTAGAATTGCATTATCTAGGGGAGCCTGGGTGGCTCAGTTGGTTAAGCATCTGCCTTCGGCTCAGGTCATGATCCCAGGATCCTGGAATCAAGCCCCACACTGGGCTCCCTGCTCAGTGGAGAGCCTGTTTCTCCCTTTGCCTGCTGCTCCCCCTGCTTGTGCTCTCTCTCTCTTTCTCTCTCAACTACATAAAATTAAAAAAAAAAAAGAATTGCATTGTCTAATATCATACTCATTTGCCACATGTGGCTATGAGCACTTAAAAGGTAGCTAGTCCAAACTGAAATGTGCTGTACAATACATGCCCATTTTGAAGACTTTGTAAGAAAATAAGAATGCAAAATATCTCTTTAATAACTTTTGATTACATGTTGAAATAATATTTTGGATATACCGGGTTACAATGTATTACTAAAATTAATCTCGACTGTTTCTGCTTTTTTTAATGAGTACTTAAAAATTTAAAATTTTATATGCACTTCACATTATATATCTATTGGACAGACCTGCCTTATAACTTATGGTCTAATGATACAAAAAATGACTTTAAATGTGTGTATTTTGTTGCCCAGAAGTATAATGAGATGTCAATACAAGACTCTCAAGTATAAAAGTCAATGATAAAATAAAAAATCTTTGTTATTGGCTTATCAGGATTCATATTACCTGACAGATTTAGGTTTACAAAATGTGGTAGTTTTGTTCAAAATTATCTGCTAGTATGTAGCTGAAAAAAAAAAAATTACACTGATTTCTTAGCTAAAACTTCCATTCGACATACTGTCCTGGTTTTTCAGATTTTCAAAGTCCGCAAACTCAATCTTACACTTCTTCTCATATACTTTAAAAGTATTTTGTAATATATGGGTATTTAAAAGCTGTCAATTACTGAAAGAAAAGCACACTACCTGGATAAGCACACTGCAGCAGAGCTATCGATTTGCCTCCAGGAGCAGAACACAGATCCAGAACTTTCTCCCCATCCCTTAATTCCAGAGCCAATACTGGGAGAAGAGAGGCAGCATTCAGGAGATAGTATTTTTTTAGAATTCCAATCTGGTGTCTTTCTGAAGGCATTCTATCTGGAGTTCTGCTAAGGTAACACTTCATTGATTTAGGAGAGTAGGGTAAAGATCCTTGAAAGAGTGTGTGATAGCCCTTTAAATGTAAATCTTTTTCCAGTTCAAAGGAATAATTGAATCTGTTAAGAAGGATAGCATATTGCCAGCATGATGGAGATATTAGTATATCCCTAGAAATAGAAAAACAAAAGAATATTAATATTATATATACAAACACAATTTTATATTACTAATCAAGTGAATGGGGCCCTAGTTTCACACTTACCTGTGATTTTTTTCAGAGTCAGGATTAGTATCACTGACTTTGCCCTTTTGCCATAGGCTCCAATATGGCTCAACCTACCACTGTTACGACCCTGCCTTTATTTAAAACTTTAGTGTTTTATTCATCATGGGTTTTCTTTCTTTTGTATGAATTGTGCCCATTAAAGTATTATTTGATTATTGAGTTTTAGGGGCCCCTTAAATTCTGCACCAGAGAGGAATGCCTCACCTGCCATTCAGCCTAGTCCCTTCCTGCAGAACAGCTTGCCAAAAACACATGGCCTGTCTTTATATACCTCTGAATACATCAAAAGAGATGTCAGCCTATCACTTTGCACAAGTGTTTTTCAAAAGACAAAATTTAAAACCTGAGACTATTAATATTGGAGGGAAAAGTACTATCATTAAAGGGTATTTAAAGGAGTGAGTGTTAGTCTTCCTCTCATGAAATAAAAGTATGGAAAACTATAGTGAACCCTACAGTAACAGAGTTAATGAGGCGATCAGTGGTTCAGATGATACAAAACCAAGGATGGTTTAAAAATCACTTATGGATTGACAGCACCGCCCACCCCCCACCCTCCCGCCTTCACCAGAAGATTCTCTTTCCTAATTTTTTATTCGGTCCAACAGTTAGATCTCTTAACAGTCAGAAGCTCACATCAACTGACAGATGATATAGCAGGAAATATTTAATTTATTTACAAGCTCACCTTTCTAGCTGAGTTATTTGGGAGCCTCATTAACCATGGTCAATTAAATAAATCCCAGCTGCTACTCACCCTGGAGTTGCCTAGGTGAGAAATGGCTGGATTGAAATGTAACACCTGCGACTGGAACTGTGCCAGGTGAATTTCAATTGGGGGCTAATATGTGAAACTGCTTTCTCCTTCACTGCCTCTTACTATGATGGTCCACCATCAGAGGAGCCCAGTGTGTCTGTTTCAGGAATTTTGGAGGATGACAACCTCTTTTTTTAAGAATGTACTCTGCAAACTTTAGCAGGCATCAAGTGTCTGTAAAAGACTCCTAAGCCCTACCCCAGGATTTTCTGATACAGTAGGTCAGAAGCACGGCCTGAGCATTATTAGCATTTCTAGCAAGTTCTCCAGTGATAATGATGCTGCTAATCCTCAGGACCACACTTTGGGAACCACTGCATTAAAACAGACCCAAAGGGGAGATCTGCAAATGTCACTGCTATAACTTTTATTTCAGTCTACCCTAATCTTACCCTTCCAAACTGGATGAAAATCTACCCAGGGTTTTGACTCATTTAACAGAGAAATAATAGTCAGAAACATAATTTAATTAATACAGATTGGAGTGGCTTGTTTCTTTGGCTAACAAAGGTAGGACACTTTCAATTGGTTAATATCTGACAGAGCAAATCTCTTTTCTTTTTTTTTTTCCTTCAGAATTTCCAAAGCTATTTTAGAATGTTTATTCTTTCAGATGAACTTTAGAATCAGTTGGGTCAGTTAAAAAATAATTTATAAAATATTTGTGTAGATAGCAGAAACCTTGACTAGAATTATATTAAAAGCAGTAAATCTGGGGAGAATTAACATCCTTATTGTATTTAGTCTTTCCAACCCTGACTACATTGTTTCTCCATTTAGTCACATTTTCTTTCAGATCCCTTAGTAAAGGTTATTAATCTTGCATATTTCCTTTTAACCTTATTGTATGTTAGTTTAGGAACAGTATTTTTGTGTATTATACAATATGTTAAATCTTGAAGGATGAGGAGGAATACCATAGGACAAAATGAGAGGGGAAATTCAAGGACAAAGGCAATAGCCCAGGCACAAACGTATGAAGAAGGACAGTGCATTTGGGTAATTAAAAGTAGTCTGGTGCGACTCATGGCAGATTATATGGGTCAAATATAATATGATAAAGTTCACTAAAGGACTCTAGGGGAGAGAACCTCACTGCATTTAAAAACATATACTTATTGGGGCCCCTGGGTGGCACAGTCAGTTAAGCATCTGACTCTTGGGTTTCAGTTCAGGTCATGATCTCAGGGTTTTAAGATCAAGCCCCACGTGGGGAGGTCAGCAAGGAGTCTGCTAAAGCTTCTCTCTCCCTCTCCAACCCCCCCCCCCACCCCGCACTCACACTCTCTCAAATAAATACATCTTGGGAAAAAAACAAAACAAAACATATACTTATGGCAGAGTGAGTCAGCAATCTTCAGAAATTATTCTCATTCTTTAACAACTAGATAAAATAAGAACTTGCTTAAACAAATTTTCTGACTCCTCCTAACCTATATGCAGCCTTACTGAAGTCCTTGAACTTCCTGGAACAAGTTTTCTTTAGCCTTTACCAGTCTCAGGATAAACTGCTCCCTCTGCCCAAAATGACCTTTCTTCTGACCTACAATGGCCTGGCTGACTCCCCTACTCTCTGCGGAGGGCCCGGTTTAGGCTTTATCTCCTCAGGGAAACCTTTCTACCTACAAGCCAATCCACCTGCTCCACCTCACCCTGATATTAATAAAAAAAATTACTGATCATATGTTTACAATATGCATTTCGCCTGCTTAGCTCATTTAACAATCACTACTGTGAAAGACAGCTATTACCCCCATTTTAGAAGTTAGGTAACTGAAGCTTTCAGAAATCTGGCAACTCACCCAAGGTTCTATCACTATTAAGCAGAAATACCTGATTCAAAATCTGGCTGATTTATTTTTTTTTTTAAAGACTTTATTTACTTATTTGACAGAGAGAGACACAGCGAGAGAGGGAACACAAGCAGGGGGAGTGGGAGAGGGAGAAGCAGGATCTCCGCGGAGCAGGGAGCCCGATGTGGGGCTCGATCCCAGGACCCCGGGACCATGACCTGAGCCGAAGGCAGACGCTTAACCATCTGAGCCACCCAGGTGCCCCAAAACCTGGCTGACTTTAAAGTCTAACGAAGTGTGAGCCCTTGGTACTGTAGCACTAGCAGCATACCACAGGGGAGAGGCAGAGAATTTTCACTCCAACCCTCGCCTAGTGTCAGTGCCCTGGCCTCCCACTGCTCCTAACAGTGGGAATAGCCTGATACACGCTGCCCTGAGCACCTGCAATGGGACCACTTGATGCAGGGACTGCTCAGATTGCTCAGGCTGGTGCTTCCTACCCCTGAGAAAGCAAAACTGCATATTAATGTGGGTCTCAGCACCCCACCCATCCTGCCCCACCAACTACCAGTGATTTCCCCTCTCCTTAGCACATGCGCACACAGACACACACACACTAACACTCCAGTGCACTGGCAGGATGATGCCCCTGGGGCTGGCAGGCCAATGGCTACTCAAGTCCAAAGCTCTGACTGGATGGACAAGTGGCCCAGCAGACAATACTGGGAGCGTACATTAGAGGGCTTAAGAAGACACTCACCAGGCACCTACACTCCAGGACTCCTCTGAAGATTCATGAGGGGTCTGAAGCTGTTCCACTTACTGGTCTTCAATGACAGAAGTTTCAAGTACATCAGCAACCAGCAGAATTGGGACCCACAAGTGACCTGAAGATGTTTGCTAGTACCTCCACTGACCATTTTGAAAAAAACTATATGTACCCTCTGGCACGTTTTAAGTTGACATCAAAATCTTAACCACAGATTAAGAACGTAATTTCCAGCATACTATAAAAATTGACATTTTAAAATATAAATTATACCACTTTTTAAAATGTATCCAGTGGGACCTAAATACCAGAGTGATTTTGAAACCCATCATTATCCATTTAAAAACTGTCTCTTCCTGAACAGGTGAAAATTTTACAGTTCCTTTTTCTGTTCACATTCTATTTCCCCATATAACTTTATCTTAACACATTTTTGTGCTTGAAATCTTTTATTACCCTATCGTTCTTCTCTGCCATAAACACACACACACACACATATACATACTAAATTTGTTTTCACTATGGCCTAAATCTCTAAGTGTTAAAATGGTAACTTCTGGATTCAGTTATCAGTAAAATTATTAGTATAAAGTTGATCAAAATATTTACCATAGATTTCATAATTATTAAACATAAAAAGGAAAAGTGTCAGGAAATGGATCTCAATGAAATGAGCTTCCCCCTGACCCTGGTCCCCAGATATCCAGAGATGAATATTACCTAGAGCTGTACTGAGTCAGGGTCCAAATCAACTATATTCCTGTTTTGTATTCTTACAAGGGCTGAGAAAAACCTTCACTTAAATAAGTGGGTAAGAATTAAATATATTTTGTTATGGCAATGTCTCTCTTTTTGACTTCTATTTCTTTCTGAGTTATATTCCCAAATCACTTAATGATCTATCTTCAAAAATATTTTAAATGACCTGTTAGTTGACAACTCAACTGGAGCTCCTTTACTTTTTGTTAAAAGCAAAACTTGGAAACCACCTGAACTGTCAAAGAATTTGTTAGTCATTAGTCATTTACTTTCTCAACCCTTAAAATGACATTCCAGTAGTCTCTGACAGGTAGAGGTGCTGTCACCCTGGAGAAATGCAATGTGGAAGAGTCAGGATGGTGAAAGTGTGTCCTTTTTTTTGTAAAGTGGGAGAAAGACAACAGAAAAGCAGGTTGGGAAAGGAGAATAAGTACTCCCTTAGGCACATAAGGATCAGAGTAGTTTTGTGAAAGAGAAGACATGAAAACTGAAAATCTGAAAATCTGGAAGTTGATTGCTGTAACTTGCCTGTGCACACATATCCCTTGAAAAAATTGTATTAATGTATTATTTGGACAATGTTATTTGACATTATTTTCATTCAATCACAGGCCTGGATTGGCCATTAAAATTGGTACTTTTTAACTTCTGACTTTTAAAGGGGCTAAAAGTTACTAAATCACAGGGATTTGCACAAATTAAGGTTGAATATTTGTGTAAAGCTGACATAAGGGACAAAACTG